GAAACCGCCGCGAGATGGTGCTTTTGCCGCTGTGATTACGGCCGGTAACGCCGGTTCGTGTGCTTCTTCTTTGGCTACACCTATATCGCCGGGCGGACCAACCCCACCTGACATTTTTTCCAAATTATAATTTTTGAGTGGATTATTTTCTCTAAAGGAAATCAATTGTTTGAAACGAGAGGTTTTCTTTATCTTCTTGGCTCAGGAAAAAATAGAATTGAGAGAGATAGAGAGGGGGTTATAGACAGTCAGATAGAGAGAGAGAGACGTGGGAGGGGGGCGGTCGGGGGTCAAGGCAAAGATGAAAAGTACACATGGCAGATGTTGAGGACTTCACAGCGAGTGCGTGTCATGCAAAGTGAAAGTGTTAAACAACTCCAATCCTAGGCATCTCTCAAAATCAATTTATTTTTGATTCGGTAAAAATTAAAATTAAAAATTTAGTTTAAGTCAAAATCGGAAGTTAATAATTAATTTTAGAATAATTATATTGCCACTACAAATATTATTTATTATACCACATTATAACTGTTAACAAATAATGATTTTATCGTGCTATAATTTAAAATAATCTTTTGTAGTGAATAAATGGTTGGGTAGAATATTGGCTTTCAAAATGAACGAAATAAAATAATAATGGTCGATGCAAGAGTTCGATTCTTTCTTTTTAAGACGATAATGTCCCGCACTAGTGCAACGGTATTCTGACACTCGTCTCTCAAGATACAATCACCTCGACTTGTAATAGTAGCACTCCAAATTACATGGCTTGACGAACTTACTAACGTTTTTGATCTTTTTAAAGCTGGAGGACTAAAATACACGAAAATAATATTCGAGATTGAAATGCAAAATATGGAATAATGTAGGAATGAAGGAATATAATTTGCAAGAGAGAAAAATCAAGATTGATTTTGGAATGAATAAAATTTGGGGTACGGAGACCTTTATATAAAAGTTGAAAAGTTGTGTCCAAAATATACAACAGTCAAAAAGTTGTATCTTAAATAGACACAATCCTTTTGGACAGACAATTCAACCGTCAACCGTTAATTTCTAGAAGAAGTCACGTGCCGCATACAAAAAATTAGGGGAAAATAAATAATATAAATAAATATATTATTTTAAATAATATAATTCAAATATTATTTTACCAAAAAATATATACCAATTTGACCCAAGTTCAAGTCCACGACCGGTGCCTCGTACAGAGTCAATTGGACGGCGGTGCATGCATGTGAGTTTTGACTCAACCTACTAGCATGTATGTTATCTCTCATTCAAAGACTACTGGTACCATTTGGAGTCCAAACCCAAGTCCCAAATTTAGCAATATAAAGTGATTTTTATTCTTCTAGTTTTTCTTCGTGGGATTGTCATTTTTCAATTTTTCACCAATTTTAATTCCCAATTTATTTCAACTTCAAGTGGTCATCTTTTGATTTTAATTTCTCATTTACCCTAAATTGATTTTGAGAAAATAAATACATTATATTAATCTACTCATTGAGTAGAAGTGAGAACACACTCAGCAAAATAAATCTTTTGTCCAATTAACGGGACTCACTAAAATAATTGGTCAAAAGTTGGTCAAACCAATTAAAAAAACCAATTTGTAATGGATGATTTAGTTACCTGCAAGAGCTGCCTGTGAAGGTTTATTATGTTGAGAACACTTCAATCGCAACATAATAAATGTTTGATTTGGCTGCATATTGAAATCTTGAATGGCCATATCCATGGCTACTCTTTCTTCTTTGCCTGCTCGAGTGTTACAATCCGATATGGCTCCGATAACTCGCTCGACTCCATTAACGCCTTCTGGTTTTAAGGCGAAGGTAATAAGAAAGAACAGGAGAAGAAAAAAGGTTTTCATAATTAATAGTCTGAAGGTAGATAAAAACATGTGCAATGTTCCTTAATATCCAATTTATAGCTTCCAATGTCATTGGATTGGATTGAAATTTCAATCTTAATGAATTAAGTAAAATTAAGAATTTCCTGGTACGTAAGAGTGAGAATGAAATTCTTTTCCTCAAAGTCAGAAATTTCTTGGAAGAACTCAAAAAATTGACTCGAGAATGGTCATTTGCCACATACTTTTTTCATGTCAGTTTGGTCACGCCAATTTCTTTAGGCACCCCAGAAATAGGTCAATTGATAAAATAATTATGCATGGTTAAGTCACAAGAAATTACTGCCTACTTGTTAGAAGTATAACTGTATCGTTTTGTAAGTTAGTGAGAGAGGAGGTAGAAATATAAAATTAATGAAGTGGAAGTGTTTCGTGCACGTTGTCATTATCAATTAAAAGAAAGGTTCAGACGATTGTGTAAGGAACAAACCTCTTGAGACAGTCCCAAAAATGGGTGCTTTATTAATGAAGATTACAATTGGATAGAAATAGAATGTCTCCAAGAGGCGCAAGCACACGAATACTAAGAAGATATATTTTAAAGTTAACTAAGAAATGAAATTACATATTCTCTGTTGAGAGTGTTTGATTCAGGGTCTCCTTTTTCTATGTCTTCTTTTCTTTTTTATACTCATTTGATAGTTTCTTTGTGAAAAACAACTTGAAGTCTGGTGCTGTTTGGTGTTCTATAACTACCCACTTTCTTCATGATAACTGACTTGTCATGAAACTGCCGTCTCTAACTGTTGTCATTACTCTTGTCGTTTAACTACCTGCAACCGAGATTCTTGGATCGTGTGGTGTGATAAGGTCGTTCAATAACCGCTGTACAGGATAACCATAATACCTTATATTCGCTCAAATCCTGGGCGACTCAAAGGTTTGGGCGAGAACGGGATCATCGCTCTAAGTGACAGTAAGGCACTCTATTCGCTCAGATCCTGGGCGTCTTGTAAGTTTGGGCGATGATGGTACTTTATTCGTGGGCCTCCATTGCATTCCATAATGGTCCTATTTGGGCCTCAATCCTGGATTTCCTAATTGAGCTTCATTCCTTAGACTATTCAATTTGGGCTACATTTTTTGTATGTTAACAATTACCCCCCAATATAGCAGAATTAATACCAATTATTAATTTTTTACCATATT